TTTTTTAATAAAACGCCTCAAAGACAAACTTTTCACCGCCTTGAAACTCAGAACACCTGCTTCAGTCCATCCTCATGATAAAATGTAAGACTCTGCCATGATGCTTCAGGGGTTTGTGGGATGTTAGAAGAGCTTTGGGTGCAGCAGATTGAGAACTGGTGTATCATGAAAAGAGCAGGGGGGTACATCAATCACGTGGAGTGCGTGTGCGTGTATGTGTGTGTGTGTGTATGGGGAAGAAGGAGTGGGAGGGTCTCATTTAGCTGCCTCCACATGGTTGTAAGAAAACTTCCGATTTTTAGTAAAGGAGCACTATATGGAGTTGTTATGAGCAGTAAATATCTTACCTGTTGCAGATAGCTGTCTGCACCACCTCGTTTTGGTGGGAAAAAAACAGATGAACGATCAAGCTAGTAGCTCGTCTGAGCCAGGAACAAAATGGACTGCTGCTCAGATCTCGAGCAGTTTCTTAGTCCGTGCGTTTCATAAACGTTCTCATAGTTTTGCACAGCACGGTTATTTATTATGTTGGAAACAGGGTCAGTCTGTAGTTTTTTATCAGTGACAGTTCGTCCTTAATAAAACATTAAAAAAAGTTCATATTATTTGTTGCAGACTGGGAATGTTTTCAAACATCTCACACATGTTCATGCAATCCCTTGTGGTCCCATGTTTATTGAAGGGTGTTTTTGAAATGAGTGTGTGTGTTAGCAAAATATCTCATGAACGACTAGATGGATTTTAATGAAACCTTTAGAAGGTAGCCATTGGAGGAACGTCTACAACTGGTTAACATTTGGAGTTAGTGCAGTTCAAAATGGACGCCACAGCTAATCAAAACTAGCAACACAAATTTGGCTCTAACTCAGACAGTTTTACAGATACTGAGCTAAAAATGGATGTGGTAGTAGCTGAGAGTCATTTACACACAGACTATGAGTGTGACATCTCATAGTGTTGCATAAGAGTGTGTAATACATTTACTTCAAAGGCTGACCTTAGCATTTATTTTTTTAATTCACCTATTTTAACTAAACATTGAATACTCAGAAATCACTGCCCATCCCTACAGCGCAGTCACAGCTGAGCTCTGTCTCACCAGATTAGATAACGCAAGATTTAAATTGTTCTTAAACGTTCCACTGAAGAAAAAGACCTGAGTCGTAGATGCTGCTTCTGGCGTTGAGGAGCACCATCCCTCTGTAACTTCAGGCTGTAGAGGCCAGAGTTGCTTCAAATTTCACTGCTTCTGTTAGTGCAAACCTGTTAGTAAAATATTCTTTGAGCAGCGATGAAACGTGAGCAGGATCAAGTCCCACCATCTGCTGAGGTCAAACAGGAAGTTTAAACTTCGCCGAAGGTCTCGTGTGGGTCAAGTGAGACTTGACCGACAGAAACCATTATGTTCCAGAACAAACCTGATGCTGATACGAGGTTTTTCTTCAGATTTATGTTTGGTCGCTGATCTGACACAGAACTAAAGAAAGTAAACGGAGATAAAATATAAAATCGGTCAAATCAGGTCCATGAAGTTGTTTCATTTAAACAAGTAACAAATGTAGAATATCTTTGTATGCTGAAAACGTATTTTTCTACAATCTGCTAACTTGAATCTAAAACAAAACGGAGACAAACGTGTTCTGCTTTCCAAAACTTCCAAATGATCAGATTTAAAACGATTTTAAATCCACAGATGAACATTACTTCTAAAGGGAGCGTTTTAAAGAGCGAGGAACGACAACTTCCCGTCATCAAGCTGTCTTCGTTGGCAGCCACCACATGAAAAAGAAATCCACATTTCGACTTCTTTAAAGGGAGCTGATAGTAAAACTTTGAAGTATACAACCAGAAATTCCCCGTGTCTACTTCGAAACGTTTACTAAGGTGGAAAATCGCTGAAGCCGTAGGATAAAATATGTTACCGTTTGAAACAGGGTTGTTTAGAAAGTTTAATAAATCCCAGCGAGGAACCAAAAAACAAAGCGCTTAGACTTTTTATTGAAGCAGCGATGAACTTGTGACGGCTTCTTCACCGTTTGAGGCGTCTTTCCAAACCGGGGGGTGTAATTATAACTGAATTAATCAGCTTCACATTTATCCGCACGTGTTCTTTCCAGGACTGGACGTGAAACCTCCCACATGTGTCGCGGCTGCTGCCGCTGTGCCGCCAGCAAGCTCGACCCCCCTAATTATGTACAATTAGACCCCCCCCCCCTCCCGCCCGCTGCAGCTGCTGTCAGTACCTGGCATTCCTCAAGGTGTCTGAAAGTTTTCCAGAGGATGCCGCCTCAGGGAATAACTACCGGCTTTTGTCAAAATGATTGTTTTTAGAGTGTGTAATGTAGCTCAGAACTAGAGATGAAGAAGAGATGGAGTAGTTTTGTAGGCAGGTGTCGTGGTTTTGTGTCACGGCTGCAGACGGTCATTATTTCAATCATCTTGGCGTTTTTCAGAATGACAGACTGGTGATGATAAACTCATCTGCAGCTTGTTTCTTCTCCTGACTTTATAACCACCTTTAGGAATATGTAAATCCTTTTTATATGCTGCCTGCTTAGATAAAGGGTTCAAATGTCTACCATTTATTTCTTTCCGGGCACGTATTCTTCCGTTTATGTCAAGTTTTTGATCCGTAATTCAGCTTTTATTAAACCAAGTGAATGGACTTATATAGCTAGGGATGCACGATATTATCGGTATAGTATCGTTATCGGCCGATATTAGCGATAAAGTTAAATATCAGACATCGGCCATTCCATCAAAATAACTCACCGATATAAAAGGCTTCCGTTTTAAGTTAATTTTTAATTTTAGAGACTGTCAAGTATATGTATTAATACACTACTACTTATGCACTTTTCACTTGTCGCTTGTGAACAGGTTCAATTCAATTCAATTCAAAAATACTTTATTAATCCCAGAGGGAAATTATTTGTTGTTGTAACTCGTTATCCTCATTTCATTAAGAGATGTTATAGA